GTTACTATGTTATCCCCACTCCCCACCTCTACTGTTCGTGATGTTGCGCAGGCAGCAGGCAGGCTCTTGAGACCCGGTGGAAACCATTTTTTCCTTTTGCACAATTTAGGCCCCGTTCGCTTTGCTGAAAAATCAAGCCGAAATACTATTCCGGCTGATTTGTTGTGAGAGAAAAATACTATTCCGGCTAAAAAACAAGCTGAAAAAGACGGATTATAAGAGAAGCGAACAGGACCTTAGAAGGTGCCGAAGGTCATGGGCATTGCACGTGCCTGATTTGTCCAGGTCCGGAAGATGCTGCGCCTCGTTGGATCGCCAAAATACGCGAAGATGCTAGGCCCACTACAACTATGGCTTCACAGGGCGGACGCTGAAAGGGAAAACGTCCATTCTAGCTACCTTTGTGAACTATAGTTATAGTTTGATTTTGCTCCTTGAACTTTAAAATCAGACAATCTTACCCCTTGAACTCTAAAAAAAATTTAAGTTACCTCTCTATCCTAGTTTGCAGCAGTTTTGTATTTTTTCAAAAAGAATTGGTAACTACTTGATTAGGTTTTTAATAAACCACCAAAAATGTCTCTAAGCTTTTAAAAAATAAAAAAAATCTAGAGATAGATCGATTAGGATACTTAAATTCCAAATAAAATATTTAGAGCTTGTGAAAATTTAGAAACTAAAAAAATAGGTTTATCTTTATGAAAATGGAAAAATAAGTAGAAAATGCCAAAATGATTGCGATCAATGGATAAACTTGTTTAAGAAACTTTGAATGGCACAAATCTATATCTCTTATAATTCTAAATCCCACTAGAATATTATCTTGATATACAAAGTGTCCACCTCAGCAGTTCACTATCACTTGCAATTAAAGTCCACTAGCACAAGTAATTATGATATCAACGTTAGCGAGACACATCATCCACTAACATACATTTAGTTGTTCATATCGGTGGGCCACGCTATCCACTAACATTAGTTTATAATAGTTAATCTCTTCCTAAGAATTATGTGAATAGTTAAATGTCATTCCAAATCAGTAGTTCCCGGAACAACGCGCAGAGGTGTTACTTTGAAGCATCTAAAGTTATTTCATGAGCTATAAATATTTCATTTGGATTTTCATATCTCAATATATCTCCAGATTTTTTGTTGGGTTTTCTAAAAGTGTAGATACATTTTGTGTAGTTTGAAAACCTTATCAAGTACTTACTGATTTTTTTTAACTAAAACAATGAATAAAACACCTTCAAAACTGCTCAAAACTACATCATGGAGGTAATTTGAACGGTTTTGATAGATCAGGAGGTACGATGTTTGGATTTAGAATTTAATAAGGACAAAAAGATATTGTCGCAATAGTTCAAAGAAGTATAATGGATTTTTTCCAAGGTGGGGTTAAAGCGCGACCTGTCGTGCTGCCGGAGAAGCGCGCGACCCAAGGTCTACAGCCACATGCTGTCGACCCACTCCCATTCCCTCAAACCAACACCCCCTTCTGACATTGCATGCATGCATGCTGACAGAAGAAAAAATAAAACATTTTATTTAAATACCTATAACTTTTGAATGATATATCCGTTTTAAATTTTGTTTGCATCGGTATATTCTACATGATGAAGCGAACAAAACTAGAGCCCACCTGCCTATGTTTCGAAGAATTTTATTTTAGTAGCAATTTATGTGCAAAAATGTGCTAGGAGATTTATGAAAGAAGTTGCTACCATATAATACAAAACTTGCTACTCCAAAAATATACTAAAATTTTTGCATGGTATACACATTAAATGTTACCATGGGAGTATAATAAATTTATTATATAGTATTTACATAAAGGTACTAAAACCCCTAAAAAAAATAGTGGACCAAAACAAGACAAGCTGCAACGTGGAGTGACAAATTATTACAATAAACATTGCATAAGCTGTCAATTAGGGAGCAAGTTATTATACAACACATTACAAAAAAAACCAGGAAACATGGCTTACTGCCAACTAGAGGCATTTATTAAAAGATGAGGGTAGCGGCACAAAACAAGACAACCTGCAACCTTAGGCAAATTATTAGAACAAGCATTGCATAAGCTTCCAACTAGAGGGGCAAGTTATTACATAACTCACTATATGAGCCGGGAAACATGACTATCTGACAATTGTAGGAACATTTATTAAAAAGTCAAAAATAGCGACCCAAAATAAGACAAGCTGTACCTTTGAAAGTTCTAGTTTGGTTTTGGTGAATTGATGAAACCCTAAGGGCTAACCCTTTGCTCTAAGTGATCATGAGATAGGGCAGCACATTCCAAGTGGTGGAGCAAATGATGATGATGGTGATGATGGTGATGGCCATGGAGATGATCAAGTGCTCAGGCTTGAAAAAGAAGAAAGAGAAAAATAAAATAGGCTCAAGGCAAAGGTATATGTGATAGGGCCATTTTGTTTTGGTGATCAAGACACCTAGTGGGTGTGATCACAACATTTAGGATAGATAGTCATATTATTAAGATGTGTGAAACTTATATCGAAATGCGGTTATCAAAGTGCCACTAGATGTTCTAATATATTGCATATGCATTTAGATTCTAGTGAGTCTAACACCCTTGAAAATGTTTGTGAAAATATGCTAACACACGTACACAAGGTGATATACTTGGTGGTTAGCACATTTGAGCAAGGGTGAAGTGTTTGCGCTTGATTGGAGTGAAAACAGGGGCGTCGGACCCTAGTTTTCTAGGGCGTCAGACCAGGCTGACCCTAGGTCCGACAGTCCTCCTACGTGCGCTAACAGAGACCGAGAGCGAGGTCTGACCGATTTAACCCTCTCTGGACCTTACTGGACCGCGTCGGACCCTCCTTTGTGTGGAGTCCAACGGCCAGGTTCGATGCTTTGGTCAGCGCGTGGCAGGCGACCATTGGCAGCAACTGTTGGGTGGCTTGAGTGGCGCCTACATAAACTTGTTGGCCGGCCTTGGCTCACTCTCTTGGCCATTTTCATTGACATAGTAACCTCGTGAGCTAAGCAAAAGCCCTCTCACTCATCTCCATCATTGATTCATCATCTTTGTGAGATTAGGAGTGAATCCAAGTGCATTGCTTGAGTGATTGCATCTAGAGGCACTTGGTAATTGTGTTTTGCTATGGATTTCGCTTGTTTCTCTTGGTGGTTGCCGCGAGGATCGTTGAGCGGAGGGTGGTGATTGTCTTCGGCTCCGATCGTGGTGATTGTGATGAGTTCTTGACCTTTCCCCAGCGAAGAGTCAAAAGGTACTCTAGTGGATTGCTCGTGGCTTGTGGATCCTCATTTTGTGTTAGTTGTGCGGTACCCGATTGCGGGTTAGGCGATGATGCCTATAAGTGTGTGAACCTCCAAGTGAGTGAACCGCCACAACGGGGACTAGCAAGTGAACCTCGATGAAAAATTATTGTGTCATCTTGTCTTCGAGGATTTCTTTGGAATTCATTGATATATTATGATTGATCACTTGCCACGGCGGTATAACCCTCCTACCTCTCTTGTGAATTTACTTTATTAGTGTAGCTAAGCCCTTTAGTGTAAGTAGTTTTGAGAGCTAGCTTGTGTCTTGTCTAGTGGTTAGTGAGGCTCTTTAGTTAGTCTTTGAGAGATCACTAACATAGTGGTAGTGACTTAGCCTCTTGTGTGATATAGAGATCATAGATAACTAGAATTGTGGATAAGAGGCTTGTATTTTGAGTAGGCCAGCGTAACACTCGCTTCGCCGTTTAATTGTCTAACATCTTGGCTTAAGTGTTGTTGTAGAAATTTTCAATAGGCTATTCACCCCCCTTTAGCCATTAAGACCTTTCAACCCTGCGGGGTAAATTATTAGAAGAAGCATTGCATAAGGTGGCAACTTTTTAAATGTTTTCTTAAAACATTGCTTGTTGTTGTGTTGCATGCAATATTAGGTCAAGCTTAAGTCAATTGTTTCCTCTTCTAACCCTGATTTCGAATGAAAACCTAATCCTTCTTACCTTATTCAAACTAAATTTACAATAACCAGTACACCATGTAGCATAGATGCATGAGTGATTTGGTTCTTGTCTTGTGTGTGTGCTTGGAGGTAGTCCCTTCTCCTAAATCCTTGTGTAGAAAATAGAAAAACCTCTCACTCTCCCTGGGCCACAACCCTCCTCCCTTTTTTCCCCTAAGCCCAGCACGCCTCCTGGTCCTATCTGGCCCATCGACCACCTTGGCCCAACCGGCCTCTCCTTTCCCTTTCACCAGTCGGCCCACTCAGCCTAGCCCGCGACGGCTCCCCACTACTGGCCCAGGCCACCAAGTGGCCCCGCGCGTAGCCAGTTCCCCTCCCATGCCCCTCACGTGCGTAGCGCGTGCACGAAGGAGCCGCCGTAGCGCCATCCACTCCATTCGCTGCAGCAGAAGCCACCGCCATCTTGGGCCCAGCGTCAGCCACCCAGAGCCGCTCCCTTCTGTTTCCCTCCGTCTCACGCCCGATGCCGCTTCGTAGCTTTCCGTCGTGGTGCCGTCATCTCCTTCCTCCGTACGCACACTTCTGTTTAACGTCACGAATGCCAGCCGGAAGCCACGACGCGCCGAGCTCCATGACGTGAGCACGGGACCGCCTAAAGCTGCGCCCTGCGCCACGATTCCGAGCCCGAACTCTACCTGCCATTGACCGCGCGGACGCGCCCGCGACCAGCTCCCCGTCACAAACATTCCGAGCCGTGCCACCTGCCCGTGCTACGGATGCTCGCCACATCGCGCCGGAACGACCATCAGATGGCACGTACGCCGGCGCCGTCATCTGGAACCCTAGCCCCGCACTATAAAACCCCCAGGCCGAGCCCGAGCCCTCGCTGTCTCCCTCCTGTCCGTCGCCACAGACGCTCCCTCCCATCTCTGCCTCGCCTTCCACCTCGCCTCGTCGCAGCAGAGATGTAGCCATGGCGTGACGCCAAGCCAGCCCGCGCGGTGAGCCACCTCGCCATCTTACCCCGACGCCCTGCCTTCGCCTCGCCATGGCGCGGAGCCGCGGACGCCGCGGCCACGACCCGGCATCCGAAGCCACCGGTGAGTCTCCACCGCCGCCCAAGCTTCCTCCTTTGGCCTTAATTCCCTGGACAGTACCCCACGCCGGCTCAAGCTTTCTCCTTGCGTGCAGGAACAACCTCAAGGGGCGCCCTTGTTCTTGGAGCAGAGAGCCGGTGCACGGGATCGACACCGCCAAGTCGCGCACGACGCCAACCCTCCGCGCGGCCATGACCACCAGCTGCCTGACCGTTTTCCCGGTCCCGGCCGCAACCCCGGTGAGCTCTCACCCGCCAAAGATGTCTCCTTTTGCCTTCCTCACCGTTGTTCTTCACCTTGCCCGCCTTTTCATCGCCCAGCGCCTTCACCTCGAGCCGATTGACGACCCCGACCGGGACGCGGATTTTCCATTTGTACATGTGGCCGCGCGGGATATCGTGGCCGTGGAAGTGTTCCAGGCATTAAGATTCGTGTTCGGTTATGTACCAGCGGACCAAAGCATTGGAATTAGGAGGGAAGGGTAGAATAGGAAATCTACATGCCGTCCATCACTAAGGAATTTTTTTTAATTTTAACATTTTTTGTGAATTAATTTTAAATCTAACATTGCTTGTTTTTTATTTTCAAATTTAACACTTTTGGTCGCGTCTATTGGCATGGCACGGTGAAAATGTCTATGTCACGCCATATATGATGGCGCGGCTAGAGAACTGTACGACGTGAAGGGTGCTGCAGACACGGCCGCGAGGCGGACTGCCGCGGGCGTGCGGCTGCTGCATGCGCCCCCCTCCCTCGGGACGCGTGGCTGGGTTTGCTGGGTTTGCGGCGAGCGTGTCCTGTCCTGTCTCCGTCTCCGTCTGTTGATCCTGGACACTTTTTTTTAGTATACGATCGTCCGAGCGAGCACATGGACCGTGAATCGCAGATGGTGTTGCTCGTGGCGGTGACTTGCGCTCGAACGGAACCTGGATGCGTGCAGGGGATTGGGAGGGAGCAGGTGGCAGCAGTGAGCAGTGCCATGGCCCCATGGAGGGGGCCGCCCGGGAGCATCAAGCCATCAACTCGCGAGTCTCTAATACCGGGACTCATGACACAAGTTCATGAGTAAACATCCTGAATTGGGTCTTAGATTGCAAGTTTTTTCACTCTTTCTCTATCACATCAAATTTTTGGACACATGCATGGAGTATTAAATGTAGATAAAAAAATAACTAATTATATAGTTTGATTGTAAATTACGAGACGAATCTTTTGAGCCCAGTTAGGTCATGATTGGACAATAATTGTCAAATACAAATGGAAGTGCTACAGTGCTAAATACTGATTCTTAACCTCAATCTAAATAAGGCCTTGTAGAAGCAACGCACAGATTAAAAAAAATCTTGTATAAATTCAGGATGTTCAACGCCCATGCACAATTTTGAAAACAAAACCAGAAAATGATAAAAAGAAAGCAGACGATACTTAGTTACTTGTATCACTAGGGCCGCGTTTAGTTCATCAGCCGATTCGGCGCCGCCTAAAAAAGAGGCATACTGTAGCTACAGTACTATTTTGTTTTTATTTGGTAATAATTGTCCAATCGTTAACTAGTTAGGCTCAAAACGTTCGTCTCGCAGAGTACAACCAAACTGTGTAATTAGTTTTTAATTTCGTCAACATTTAGTACTCCATGCATGTATCATAAGTTTGATGTGACGGGGAATCTTCTTTTTGCATAGTGTCAAATTCTGGAAATAAGGGGAACTAAACATGGCCTAGGTGAAATTGCCGCCTGTAGGGTGCGAACTACGAACTGAACTGAAGCTGGCATGCCATGGCCTGGCCATGGGCCATAGCAGCCTCTGAGCCACCTCTCATGCCTCCAGGCTCCAGGTGATGATGATTCTACAGTAGCGAGGACTGACGGCAGTTGCAGCAGAGGTAGTACGCCTGTACTAGTTGATCCGCTGGCTAATCATCATTGGGTTCCAATCCCCTAATCAAGTACTCCCTCCATAAAAAAAACCTGATGTTTAGGACATGATTGCGGTAACAAGGATGATTAATTAGGGTTTAGTTTTCCATCTTTGCCTCTAATAAATATGGTTGCGGGTGCTATCTTTACAAGAAAGTAACTCAGCCCAACTGGTTAGTGCGTGGAGGCATGAGTGTTGCGACTCGGGTTCGAACCCTGGCAGCCACATTTTTTTTTGCCCCCTTCATTTTGCATGGGCGTGCATGCCACTGTTCCACTGGCGTGGCGCGTCCTTTTTTCACGCGGATGGAAGCTGGAGTCGCTTGGAGGCCTGCATTTTCGCTTCGGCGCGCGTTTCAGGTTGTTTGATTTTCTTATTTCGTCTGCGCGCTCGGATGGCTGATGGTACACGCTCGTTTCGAATGAGAAGACCGATGTTTGAGCTGCCTGTACTCCACGCCACTGGCTTATTTATGCAGCAACTTGCTTTCTCTCTTCTCCAACACCATTTACTCCCTTGCCTTCCCTGCCTTGCTTGGTGCTACTACGCCGCCATGGACTAGCTGTTCTCCTTGCACATCTACTACTATGGCATAATGGCTGATTACTTATCTGGCTTTGATCTCAATGTTCGTGTAGAAGAAGAGGACGGCAACCTGCCGTGGGATCTCAACGACGGCGACGCTTTTTTTGATCTGAACGAGCCTCCGTTGGAGCATGGCAACGGTATGTTCTTTTCTTTTTGGACATGAATTATTTCATTGTATCCGGTGGAGCATGGCATGCATATTAGGTTCCATTCTCAGCATGCTCTTTTATTTTTGGACAGGAATTGATTTGAACTTGCCACTAGATGAATTTGGAGCCGTAGATTTTGATTATTTACATAACCCCCATGGTAAGCATGCCTATATTTACATCATGCTAACAAGAAGACTAGGTTGAAGTGGTGCATTGACATGATTGACCAAGGTTTGCTTGATAATCCAAAGTTCAAGGATTTGTTTGACTTTGTGTTTATTGATGAGAAGTGGTTCTACCTCCATAAAAAATCAGAGAGGTACTACTTGCTACCCGAGGAAGATGAGCCACATCGAACTTGCAAAAACAAGAACTACATCCCTAGGATCATGTTCTTGTGTGTATGTGCTCGGCCAAGATTTAGAAATGGAGAATGTGTGTTTGATGGCAAAATAGGTTGTTTTCCACTAGTCACTTTTGAACAAGCTATTAGAGGAAGTCACAATCGCCTTCGTGGAGAGGAAGTAATCAAGCCAATTCAATCAATCACAAGGGAGGTGATCAGAGAATTCATGATAAATAAAGTTTTGCCTGCAATTAGAGCCAAGTGGCCAAGAGAAGATGTGCACAAGCCTATTTTCATACAACAAGACAATGCTCCTTCTCATTTAAAAGTGGATGATCCTCAATTTTGTGAGATTGCTAAGCAAGATGGGTTTGACATTCGGCTCATATGTCAATCACCCAATTCTCCAGATTTTAACATCCTAGATTTGGGTTTTTTCCGAGCTATTCAAGCTATTCAATACAAGAAAAATGTTAAGACAATGAAAGATATAATTCCAGTTGTGCAGCAGGTAAATGATCATCCATTTGATTGTTTCAATACAATAAAGATTCTAAGACAATGAAAGATCTAATTTCTTGAACACATTTCTTGTAGGCATTCTTGGAGTACAGTCCATGGAAAGCAAACAGGATATTTGTAACACTACAAACTGTTTTGAAGGAAGCAATGAAGATTAAAGGTTGCAACAATATAAAGATTCCTCACTTGAACAAACAAAGACTAGAGAGGGAAGATAGGCTGCCATTGCAAATCCCTTGTGAAGCTTCCTTGCTAGCCGAAGCAATTGCAAGTCTCCCTGCATGAAAGCATTAGAAAAAGCAAGTTAGCTTTTGCACTTTACTGATTTTGTAATAGCAGCAAGCATGTTAGAAGATGCAAACACGTTACAGTAGTAGCAAATTAAAAAAAGACATGTAGTACCTTATTGTTCTTTGTTTGCATCTTGTTTGAGCTTTGCAAGTTCCAACTTCTTTGCATCTCTGATCTTGTCCAACTTGTTGATGACGTGCTCTGGCAGAATGATGGTGTTACCATCCATTTGAAGTTTGGAGACATCTGGGATGTAGATCTCACAGTCGAACTTGTCTAGGTAGTCCAACCACTTTGCTATCATATCGTAGTCTTCATGTAAGAGGCCACAACGGGCACACCGGCGAGCTTCGCGGCGAGCTTGGTAGCATTCCTCTCCGAAGACGCCGCCGGCATGGAACGTGCCACAGCGAGGACAATGCACCACCTCGTCCAGCTGGTCGGAGTCCGGCAGTACATCGACGGAGTTCGGCTGCACCGCATCGTACTCCAGCTGCACCTCGATGGAGTCCGGCAGCAGCTCGTCGGAGTCGGGCAGCTCCTTGACGGAGTCCGGCACCTCCTCGACGGAGTCCGGCAGCACCGCGTCGGAGTCCTGCAGCACCTCGTCGGAGTCCTGCAGCACCTCGTTGGAGTCCGACACCACCAGCGAGGCTGAGACGGTGTGTGCGGCGAGCGTCGACCGTGGGCGAGCGTGCGGCACGACGTTCGCGGAGACCGGCGCGACGTTCGCGGAGACCGGCGAGCGTCGAGCGTGTGCGAGCACCTCCTCGGAGCGGCGATCAAGGCTCCACCGGCAGGAATCCATGGCGAAGGCTAAACCCTAACAAGGCGGCGGCGGCAGAGTTTCTGCGAGATGGAGCGATGGAGGAGCGAGGAGGCGTGGCTGCGTCGGGAGACGAAGAGAGGAGGCGCGCGTGCTTCTGCTGCAAGTACCGAGGGCATGCATGGCCAAGGGCATTCGCGTCTAATGTTTCCATAGGGAGGCTATAAGGTCAACTTATGCGAAAATGGGCTGTTGGCGCAGGATATCTAGTATTTTGAATACGGAGGGAGTAGAGTAGTGTACATCAGATTGCCTCCCTGCCAAATCACCAGTTCACCACCCCTGATCAACGCACGCACTATTGAGGATCTGCGCCAGGAGACAGGACAGGACACGCTCGCCGCAAAACCAGCAAACCCAGCCACGCATCCCGGGGCTCTACACGGCCTCCATGTCCGCCCGTCCGGTCATGCTCTCCGCTATGATTGTCTTTGTTTGTACCGTTCGTAAAGATATTTGTAAGGCTGCGTTTAGTTAGAGGAAAAGTTGGAATTTGGGTATTGTAGCACTTTCATTTTTATTTGACAAAAAGTGTTCAATCATGGACTAATTAGGCTTAAAACATTCGTCTCGTGATTTTCAACAAAACTGTGTAATTAGTTTTTTTTCGTCTACATTTACTGCTCCATGCACGTATCGCAAGATTCAATGTGACAGGTACTGTAGCATTTTTTTGGAAGTATTTTTGAAACTGAACACGCGCTAAAGTGATATTTAATATTTTTTTAACTAACTATGATTATTACTTTAACGATACTAATTATATATTATAGGTAGTAATATTATTTTGTATATATTTGGTCAAAGTTGAAAATGTTTGGTTCTCAAAAGGTTTTTGTGGGATGGACGGAGTAACATCAAAATCTTCGTAGGTCATATGTTTGCCCAACTATAGCTTCGTTAGCACGAAACTGTTTTTATCTTTTTTTTCCTTAAAATAAACTAATAAGAATCAATAAAATTGACTTTTTTTTTTCTTCACCGGCTTGGATTCCTCCGTGTGGTGTTTTAAGGGGCTGGATGAATCCATGCCAAAAAGGCATATTGTAGTAAGGAGTGAGATGAAGTCAGCCAAAGAGACTGGAGCGATGGATCCGCCGTGTTAACTTACAGTTATCACGACATGTTTTTGAACCGGTGGCATTGGCCAAATAGTTCAAATGGTAGTGACAGATGAACCACGTCTCATACTTTAATAAATGCTACTAATACACTTCATCTGTAGACCACGTATGCCGCTCATCACAGTGTCACATTAATTCGAGCTTTACATTGAACACTGTGCTCTGTACCGTGAACCTGTTGCTCTGTACAATTCAGGATATTTACTCATAAACTTGTGTCATGAGTCCCTGTATTAGAGACTCGCGAGTTGATGGCTTGATGCTCCCGGACGGCCCCCTCCATGGGGCCATGGCATTGCTCACTGCAGCCACCTGCTCCCTCCCAATCCCCTGCACGCATCCAGTTTCCGTCGGAGCGCAAGTCACCGCCACGAGCAACACCATCTGCGATTCACAGTCCATGTGCTCGCTCGGACGATTGAATACTAAAAAAAAGTGTCCAGGATCGACAGACGGAGACAGGACTGGACACGCTCGCCGCAAACCCAGCCACGCGTCCCGAGGGAGGGGGGCGCATGCAGCAGCCGCACACCCGCCGTAGTCCGCCTCGCGGCCGTGTCTGCCGCACCCATCACGTCGCATTGATCCCAGCGGCCGCTCTCGGTTCATCTCTGCCGCGCCGTGATGGATGGCGGGGCGGCGCCACGTCAGCCTGTTCGGGAGGCCGTATCGTATCGTGGATTATTTATTGCTGGCTGGTTTGGTGTGAGAGAAAAACACTGTTTCCGGCTGGAAATTTACGATCGTTTACGAGCAAGCGAACAGGCTGGAATCGGTGATGGAGCAGACCCTATCACATTATCAATCAGCGTCTTGATCGTTGTCACGTCAGCCCTCCAGTCGCCCCATCATGTATGACGTGGCACAGACATTTCGTCACGCCATAGCAATAGACGCGGCAAAAAGGGTTAGATTTAGAAATAAAAAACAAACGGGGTTAGATTTAAAATTAATTCAAAAAAGTGTTAAAATTTTAAAAAAAAATTCTCACTAAGGGCGGTCAGGGGAAAAGTTGAAGTGCCTGTTGCCGGCCATTCCTAGCTTATACAGAAGGAGAGCATGGCGACGTGAGGAAGGTGGAGGTGCCAGGAACATTTGGAGCTCGCCGATTCCGATAGCAAGGGACAGTTCCCACTCGACCAAGTGCAGATTGCTGCAGAGCGAAGCAAGAATCGAGAGGTGGAGAAGATGTCCGCTGAAATCGAAGACGATGGGGACGTACTGTTCCATAAACAGGCCCCAACGCCTGCGGCACTTCCGTTCCAAGTGCCTGCAGCTGGGAAGGCTGCCGCGGGGAAGAAGGTAGAGGGGCAGATGTGCTACGCCGACGGAGCGAAACCAGTGCTGGAGGCCACGCCGCTTTCAATGGCGGAGCAAACAGTACAGATCGGTGGAGGATGCAGGCCTACAGAGCAGTATTTCCGTAGTTCAGTAAGTGTACATTATGTTCCATTATGTTCAAGCAGTTGATTAATATTTTGAAAATGCCATCCTAAACATAGTTGCAGGTATTTCATCTACCTCAAGACAGCGGCAAAGAGGCTCAAGTACAACAGGCATTACCAGAAGGTATGAATTCAAGTACAATGATTGTTACTTGTACAACTGTTACTTGTACATCTATCACTATTCCAAATTCAGATCTGAAAATGCTGTACAGTACTATGAAACTAGGTCTGCCTGCAGAAACCAATGTAGAGTTCCAAGCTACATACCAAATAAAGATCTGCTCATTTGAAGTAACTGTGTACTGAAATACTCATAATAACTTGTCTGAGAAAATATTCAGGTTTATTCCGACATGTAAAGCAAAAATGTTACTGATGCAACTAACTAGCACGAAATGTCTTTACTGAAGGGATTGGACACTATGGAAGTCTGCAAGAGTTATTGCTTGGGTTCACCAGTGGTGCATTATGCATAGTCACTGAGGAGGAGGAAAATGTAGTACAAAGGGGATCATCTCTGGAGCAAAGTTGTTTTGAATACGAAACAAAAGATGATGACTTTAATGCAGAACCTGAACTTGAAGCACCAGAGATGTGCTTGCAAGAGGGTTATGTAGAGAGTTAGCACGACAATGAGCATGAAGAGTCAAGTGATGCAGATGAATCTGCAGATAGTGATGGTGATAAAAGAAACAAACAAAATATCTACTCAAATGAGAAGGATTTGGAGAGTGTGGACTGGGACATATTCTGTTCTACTGGTGAACTAATGAAGAAGATGTTAGAGAATGACCAACCGGCTCTATTGCAAGGCCCAAGAGGGCAAGTATACACAATGTATATATGCAAAGAAGCCCTCCAAGTAGAGGAAAAACATATACACCTCCTATACATCATACACCTCCTATACATCTAACACCCCCTCAAACTCATGGTGGATCTACAACACTGACTTTGGAGAGTAAGAATCTATGATGAGCCCGGGTCTGTGCCTTGGTGAAGAAATCAGCTAACTGAACCTCTGAAGGCACATGGTGGAGCGTCACAACTAGATCATGAACCTGCGATCTCATGTAGGAAACATTAACGCCAATGTGTTTGGTGAGCTCATGCTTGACGGGGTCTCGAGCAATACTGATCGCACCGGTGCTGTCAGAAGAGAGAGGAGTGGGTGCAGTGGCAGGCACACCAAAATCCTCAAGAAGCCATCGTAGCCATGTCACCTCCGCAGTCACAGTCGCCATAGCACGCAACTCAGCCTCAACACTCGAGCGGGAAACTACAGTCTGCTTCTTGGTTTTTCAGGCAATCAAGGAGGAGCCAAGGAAAACACAATAGGCAGAGAGAGTAGCAATCATAGTGATCACTCGCCCAGGTCGCATCAAAATATGCCTGAAGCTGAAGAGAACTAGAACAAGGGAAGAAAAGGCGCTGAGAGATAGTTCCACGAAGGTATCGTAGAACACGAAGGAGGTGAACATAGTGGAGCTGGGTAGGAGCTGAGACAAACTGACTCAAGATATGCACAGAGTGAGAAATGTCAGGACGAGTGATCCCAAGGTAGACAACAAGCTCCATAGGAGTATCAACAGTGCGGTGATCAGTGAGAGCAGCACGGGAAATGAGGTCATGAGTGTACTTCTCCTGAGAGAGAAAGAAACCATCATATGTGGAGGTGACCTCAAGACCAAGGAAGTAACGAAGGGGACCCAAATCAGACATAAGGAATGTCTCACTGAGACGCTGCTTCACAAAATCAATGTACTGGGAATCATCACCCGTGATGATCATGTCATCGACATAGAGAAGAAGAAGGGTGCGACCACGAGGGGAAGTGTGAACAAAAAGAGCAGGATCGTGATCACTTGGCGTTAAACCAGCATCGATGACAACAGAGGAGAAACGCTCAAATCAGGCCTGAGGAGCTTGCTTGAGGCCGTAGAGAGAACGGTGCAACCGACAAACCAGGCCATCAGGAACAGAGTATCCTGGAGGTGGCTGCATATAGACTTCCGCTCGCAGCTCACCATTGAGGAAGGCGTTCTTGACATCCAACTGGGATATCAACCACTGACGAACAGAAGCAACTGCAAGAAGAGTGCGAACAGTAGTCATGTGCGCGACAGGAGCGAAAGTCTCCTCATAGTCACGACCTTGCTCCCGTTGGAAGCCGCGCGCCACAAGACGAGCCTTGTAGCGCTCAATAGAGCCATCCGAGCGGGTCTTTACCTTGTACACCCACTTGCAAGTGATAGGAGTGACGTGAGGTGGCAAAGGAACAAGATCCCAGGTGCCAGTACGTTCTAGGGCAGCAATCTCCTCAGCCATAGCATGTTGCCACTCCTGGTGAACGGCAGCTTCCCGATAGGTCGCGGGCTCAGCCAAGACGGTAGCAGTGAAGCCAAGGCGATCAGGAGGACGAAGGGTGCTGCGGTCACGAAGAGAATAATGAGGAGGAAACTCAGGATGAGGTCCAAGGACGGACGGAGAAGAGTCAAGTGGTGGCGCAGGGCGCGGACGAGTGTAGTAGTGAATGATCTCACGGGAAGGACGCAACGATGATGGTGGAGGAGAGACTGGTGGTGGAGAGGTAGGAGGAGGTGGTGAAGGTGGAGAAGTAGGTGGTGGTGGTGGAGGCGGAGTAAAAGATACCTGAGGTGGTGAAGAGGATGGAGACGACAGCGGAAGATACCACTCAGGTAAAGTGAGGAATGAGAGGGACTCAGTGGTACCAGAAGAACCGGAAGGGGAACGAGAATAGTAAGGCGGGACTCATCGAAGGTGACATCTCGAGAAATCCTCATCCGACGAGCAACAGGGTCATAGCAGCGATAACCCTTATGTTCCGTATTGTACCCAAGGAAAACACACTCAACAGACTGAGCAGTGAGTTTGGTGCGCTCACAAGGTGGAAGTAGGACGTAACAGACACCCAAAACAACGAAGATGGCTATAGAAAGGAGGGGTGCCGAAAAGACGCTCATAGGGAGTGCAACCCCGAAGACAAGTAGTGGGTTGGCGATTTATAAGAAAAACAACTGTAGAAACCGCCTCAACCCAAAAATGAGGAGCAAGCATAGAAGAGATCAAGAGAGCATGAGTAGTCTCAAGAGTGTGGCGATGCTTGCGCTCAACAACACCATTTTGAGCATGAGCATTAGGACATGAAAATTGGGCAAGAGTACCCTGCTCAGCAAGGTAGGAACGATGAGCAGTGGAGATGTACTCACTAGTAGAATCCGCACGAAAAACTCGAATGAGAGAGTTGAACTGGGTACGGATCATGGTGGCAAATTGCTGGTAAATAGAAAGAAATTGGCCACGAGAAGACATCAAATAAATCTAGGTAAATCTCGAATAGTCATAAATGAAAATAACATAATATGATTAACCCTCCTTTGAAACAAAAGGTGCAGGACCCCATACATCAGAGTGAACAAGATCAAAAGGTTTCTGGGACTTAGACTCACTAGAAGGGTAGGGGAGTTGCAACTGTTTGCCAAGTTTACAACCCATACAATGAAGAGTAGTGTCACCAGAAATAGGACCTAACACACCACTACCAACAAGAGTGGACAATCTAGAACCAGAGAGGTGGCGAAGACGACGATGCCACTGCGCAAAAGAAGGGGTGGACGAAGCAGCTGACACGGATGCTGGAGAACTGGGTGATGTGGGAGCCAAAATGGGTGAAGGAAGACGCAACCAATCAAGCTCCCAGAGGCGTTGGGAGTCCCAACACCTAGGCCCAGTTCCCACCAAAAGGCCCGTACGGAGATCCTGAACACAACAAGAATCAAACTCAAGGATTATGCGACAACCATGATCAGTGATTTGACCCGCAGACAAGAGTTGCATAGTGAGTTTCGGAACATGCGAAATAATAGGAACATTAAACGAAGAGGTTGAAAGAACACCTCTCCTAGCAACAGGAAGAGAAGTGCCATCTGCGGTGCGAACATAAATAGGTGGATCGGGGGAAGATAGAGAGGACAAGTGTGTTGCATGAGGTGTCATACGAAAAGAGGCACCAGAGTCAAGGAACCATGGGGATGATATACTTGATGGAGGAGGAGCGGAACTAGAAGCCTGAGCTGTAGTCCCATGACCGGAGGCCTGAACTGCAGTAGTGAGGCGACGAAACAGGGCAAGAACCTCCTGCTCTGCTGTAGGCACGTAACGAGTGCTCTATGAAGTAGAGGAACCACCGGAGCCCTAAAAAGAGCGTTTGCCACAACGCCCTTATCGGTCGCGCTGCTTCTTGCGACAATCCTTCTCCTCATGGCCATAGAGCTTGCAGTAGCCACACTGAATACCAGAAGGTGCCCCCGCCACCACAGGAGAGGGCTGAGACGGAGGCGGGGAGACCTGGGGAGGTGTGGTTGCTAGGACGGAGGGCTGGGGTGGAACACGAGTCACACCCCCAGCTCGAACTCGAGTAACTCAGGCATCGCCTCTGAGAGCGATGGGCGTGGACGACGAGTCAGTAACTGTGCTCGAACAGTCTCGAACTCGGGACAAAGCCGAGAGAGAAACTCGTGAAGGCAAAAAATGTCTCTCTGGTCCCGGTGACGGTCACAGCACCGGCAAGTACCACCACCGCAGAACTCAGCGCCCAAACTGTCCAGGCGATGCCAGACAGCTGTCATCTGACGGTGGAAGTCCTCAACTGTGGAGTCAAGCTGACGAAGCGACTGAGCCTCCTCAACAACAGCAAGGTACATCGCTTCGTTACGAATCTCGTAACTGCGACGGAGGTGATCCCACATAAGGTGTGAAGTGGCAAGACCTCTAAGGGATAACGAGAGATCGACCTCCATGCTCGCAAGTAAGATAGCCTTAGCAGATTTTTCCTCGCGCAGCCAAGTCTCATAGGCACCTAGATCAGACTGGTAGCTCTCCATCTCAGCCTCAAATGCCTCAAGTAAAGCATTCTTGGCATCATCATCAGCATCTGGCGAGTATGTGGGCGGCGTGGGAAGAAGAGGACGGGGAGGACAGATCCGCTCACCCGTGAGGTAGCCCCACAGCAGCTGCCCATCCATGTGGACCTCCATATGGAAAACAAAATCGCCCCAATTGGTGCCATTGAAAATGACGGGGCACCGAGGGACCAGAACAGCACCAGGGCTTCCGGGGGACGCCATGGAGGAGAGAACGAGCCTCTCTTCTCTCTTTTTTTAAGCAGAGAGTAGAGGAGGACCGGCCAGCTCACTAGCACGAGACCGACACATGGGCGTGAGTGAGCGGCTCGCTATATAGGCGCAGACGAAGGGAGCCGCGAGGCCGCAAGGGGCGCGCGGGAG